GCGTGTTTTGTTTTCTCCTCGAGGGTCCACAGGATGCTCTTCGTGGTCTCTCGCCGGGGAAAAACGTGCACGCGTCCAAGCGATGCAAAGGGGGCCAGGAAGGGGGCCAGGAAGGGGGCCAGGAAGGGGGCCAGGAAGGGGGCGGGGGGGGGGGGGGGGGGGCGCCTCTCGCGGCCCCCGGGGGGGCACGCTGCGCGGCAGTCGGAGCAGGGAGGCGCAGGGGAGGAGAGGGGCGGGGGCCGTGATCGGCGGCGAGCGAAGGGGGGGAATGCAGGGCAGTTTTGAACACATGGGATTTTAACAATTCTATGATGCTCAAGGCATGATCAATGTATGAACAAATGTATGCATGAACTCACCGTTGTCTTTAATCTTAAATCCCTGCATTTCTAATACATGCTCCGCACGCGGAGCACGTAATTGAAAACGGCACTGTAGTGAGAAGGAGAAGGCCTTCTCGGAAGGCGGCGGGACTTCCCATGGAGCCCTTCGGCCTCCTGAGAAGTCTCTCTGCGGCTTCGGGGAAGGCTCAGAACACTTCTCAGGAGGCCAGGGGGCTTCCGACCCTTCTGACAAGGCCCGCCCCTTCCTGCTTCCCCCCTCGCTCGTCACCGACCCGAGGTCTGGGCGAGTTTGTGGGCCTGGCCATGGCACGAAGCCACAACCCCCTGGCCCTGACCCCCGGCTTGGACGCCCCCGACTCTGGGGTACCGGAAACTGCCTCTTGGGCTCAGACTCCGAACATGCCAACGAAAACGAGAGCAGCACTCTTTCTCGCGACGCCTGGGCATCAGGGGGGGGGGGGCGAGCGGACGAGGTCGGCTTGCAGCACGGCGTGTCCTTGAAATACGAAAAAGGGGCATACGGCATATATATATATATATATATAAATATAAACTGTCGGAGCTCCGCGGGGATTTCCTGGATCGGCGCTGGACCCCCCTTTCCTGGCGTGCGGAGCGCGCCAGGGGCGGCGCTGGGGGCGCCGCCAGGGAGATCCATCGCGGATCAAAAAAAATCCGCGCGGAGCTTCGAACGTATAGGTTGATGCTGTATTTCTTACTTCTGGGACCCCTATCGACTGGCCAAATGTTGCGCAACACCTTGCAGACCACGTCGAAGGGGGCGCTGACCTTCATCATCTTACAATATTACTTCATACGTTGCATGTCATGCCTGGTGCCTTGGCTTGAGGAAAAACAACATAAGCATAAACTGTTGGCGCTCCATCCGGATATCTTGGATCCGCGCTGGCCCTGCCTCCTTGGCGCGCGGAGCGCGCCAGGGGCGGCGCCCGAGGCGCCGCCAGGGGGCCCCAGGCGTGGATCCAAGAAACCCGCGCGGAGCGCCAACAGTCTATACATACGGCGTGTTTTTTGTCCTTCGATTACATACGCTGCATGCCATACCAGGTGCACTTGACAGTGCGCCCTATGGGGGCACTCCACCTGCTCGAAGCAGGCGCCTCAAACAGCCAAGATCGACTCCAGGGAGGAGGGGGGGGAACGGGGGGGTGCGAAGGCCTGCGCCGATCGGCGCGTTTCTGCACTCAGCGCGTCCTCTGTCCACACCCGCCGGGGTGGATCAACGCTCATGGACATGTCGCGGGGGCTCCCCGGCCACCACCGTGCCAATGTTGAGCTTCGCTGTCAATGCCTCGCTCTCGGGTGGCTTGGCTGTGTTCTTGCTCGTGAGCATGTGTCACGTGTGCGGAGCTACACACTGTCAATGCCGCGCTTTCCTGTGGTTCTTGTGCGTACTCCTGCTCGCAACGCACACCGCCAGAGGCGGCGCAGAGCTTGAGAGATCCATAAACAAAACATGCCCGGTGCCTTGGCATCCTTGTTTCCTTCTTCTGCCAGGAGGAGGAGGAGGAGGAGGAGGAGGAGGAGGAGGAGGAGGAGGAGGAGGAGGAGGAGAAGGGGGGGGAGGAGGAGGAGGAGGATGAGGAGGAGAGAGATGGGAGGAAGGGGGAGAGGAGGAGGAGGAGGGGACGGGGGGAAGAGGAGGCGGGGGAGGGGGAGGAGAGGAGGAGGGTGGAGGAGGCAGAGGAATGCCTTGGCATCCTTGTTTCCTTCTCCTGGCTTTGCCCACGCGCCCCGCCGCGTGGCTTCGGCCCTCCCGCGTCGGGGAAGCTCTGGCCCGGGCCAGTGCAAACAGGAGGAGGAGGAGGAGGAAGAGTAGGAGGAGGAAAGGAAAGAGGAGGGGAAGGAGGAGGGGAAGGAGGAGGAGGAGGGGAAGGGGGAGGAGGGAGGAGGAGGAGGGGGAGCGGGGAAAGAGGAGGAGGAGGGGGAGGAGGAGGTGGGAGGAGGCAGAGGAGCGCCTCGGCATCCTCGCTGCCTTCTCCTGGCGTTGCCCTCGCGCCCCGCCGCGCGAGGCTTCGGCCCTCCCGCGTCGGCTCCTGGCTCGGGGGCCGGGGGCCCTGCGGGCTGGGCGCGCCCAGGCTCTGCTGCGACAGCAGCTCCTCCAGGTTGAGCCTCCTCGCCGGCCCGCCCGCGTC